TGATGATCTGCCCTGTAAACTACCACTCAAATCACAATAAAAACTTTTAAGAAAAAAAATACAAATACTTGGCATAAAGATCAAGTAAGATAAAGAAGTTAAAATCTCTTGAACACTGTACAGCAAACAAAGAATTAGTAATAAAATGAACTAAAATAAACACAATTTCCAACTGTCTGGCACTGCTACTTAGTAGTCATACTTGTTAAGTACCGTGGAGTCACTTCTGACTCATAGTGACCCTGCACAGGGTTTCTAAGGCTGTAAATCTTTATAGGAGCAGAAAGCCTCATCTTTCTCCTGCGGAACAGCTGGTAGTTTTGAACTGCCGGCTTTGAGGTTACCAGCCCGATTTCTAACTACTATGCTACCAGAGTTCCTTAGTCATACTTGTAAAACAGGAATAATGCCATCCAACATTAGTAAGACTACTAGAATCAAATCAATTAATGCTTGTTAGCTCCATGTCTTCTATTTGTTTATTCATTAAATCAGAAATTGCTGTTGTCAGCTACCAGCAAGTCAGCACTTGACTCACGGCAACCCTATGCACAACAGGGCCACACTGTGTCTGATTTCTCAGAAGTAGATCACCAGGCCTTTCTTCCTACTCTGTCTTAGTCTACTGCTGAAGTTCTGTTAAAGCCTGTTCGGCATCATAGAAACACAGAAGCCTCTGCTGTCAGATGGGTGGTGGTGGCACTTGAGGTCACCAGCCAAGAATCAAACCTGGTACCTCTGGTGGACGGTGATACTTCTACCACTCTTACCACCACAGCCACAAATAAGCAAGTACTGACCACCTAATATTTTCAGAGTGCTATTTTAGGTGGAAAACAGACAAAGCTAAGCACAAGTTTCCCTATAGTCAAGAGATTTACAATTCAAGTAACTACAATGCTACATACTAATTGCTATAATAGACTTGGAGTCCTAGTGTGGTGTCACAGGATAAGCATTCCACCTCAAGGTCAGTTTGAACTACAAGGTCAGTGGTTCAAACTCACCACCCACTCCTCGGAAACCCTATACAAGGTTGCTATGAGTCAAAAACGAACAACAACACACAAAGACAGTAACAGACTTATATTCAAAATCTTATGGAAGTACAGTGACTAAATAAAACTAAGTGATTAATAAAATTCACTAAATCAGAATGTACACATCAAGTTATATGTCAAAGCTAAATAAATAAAACGAACTTATTTAAACTTCCTCACAAATACCTTTATGTATGGAACAGTTTTTCCCCTATTTTTGTTGATGTATGGAACTCTAAATTCATTTACCAATGAGAAAAAAAAAAAAATGATATGACTAGATTCCTAAGTCTCTCCTAAACACAAGAAGTACAATATCAACCGAACCATTTTGTAGCACTAGACATATTTTGATACTTCTAACCCTGTAAAACCAGAGAGGCTACGTCTTCACTCCTTCATTGCACAATTCCCCCACCACTAACACAGTTCAAAAATTTTTGAAATGTTCAATGAAAATAATAAAAACACAGTGAGTTGTTTTGAAAAGCTTAATTTTAACCATTTGCTCAATCCTCAATAAATATTTTTGAGTACTTGTCATGTGTCCCAACTGTTCAGTATACTTGGAACTCATCACTAAAGGAAAGAGACAAAGAGCCCGGCCTTCATAAAGCTTACCTTCCAGCAGCGGGAAAGTGAATATAACAATAAACATAATCAATAAAATTTGTATGTTAAGAGGTGAAAACTGCTATGGCAATAATTTTAAAAGATAACAGGTTATAGGTAGTGTTGGTTTCTATGGGATGGGAGTGAGAAGAATAGAAATCAGGAAGTCCCTTAGGACATGCCCAACTAAAGCTGCATATTAGATTACCAAGTAAAGATGTCAAGTATGCAGCCAGAAAGAAAAGCTTGAAACTCAGGAGAGAGGTCTGGACTGGATATATAAATTTAATGATTTAATTTAAAATTTATTTTTGTGTCTGAGTATATATGTCATATGTTTCCTGTGTTTTAACATGGATTACATATTATTTGGAGTCCTGGCATGGCACTGTGAATTAATGCACAGGACTGAAAAGCGGTGTAAACCACGAGGTTGGAAGTTGAAGCTCACCAGCTACTCCTCGCAAACCATACACAAGGTCGCTAGGAGCCAGAAACAACTGGACAGCACTTAACAACATGTCATTTACTATAAAAACTAGAGAGAAGACAGGAGTTATTTGATTTAATAGCTCTTTTAATGTAGGTATCCATGCAATCCATAAATTTGGAAACCATAAGAGATCCAGAAGGTAAAGAAGATGGAAACCATATACATTCCAGGGCTTAAGGAAGACATTGCAATTCCCCTCCCCCCATGTCAATTTCCTTTCTACTTCCTTCTTCTCATCTGAAGAGTATCTCTTTCCTTGATCTACTGAAGTTTCTGCCCTATTATCCTAAATATAGGACTTGCAGCAATTTTAATGGATCTTACTATATAAGAAAAATTAAGACTTTCTAAATGTTATAAAAATTTCAGAAGTATGAGAAAGACTCAATATTAAAGTTTTTCCTAAGTATTTGCTGCATTACAAATGTTCCTGATAATTCTTAGTTCCTTTACTGCATGTAACTACATTCTTATAACCCAACACACACACTAAAACCCTTCATGTCACTTTAAGTTTTAAGGCTAATGCTCCATGATCTTCTCTTTCATAAAAATGATTCATTCTATGGATCCCACCAGCATAATGAAGGAATGAAAACGGACTTTGGGATGAAAGTAGGAGTACAAAAATATGTTTTAAAAAGGACATTCATTAACTCAGCAAACTTTAACTGAGTGCCAACTACATTCCTGCCATGAATAATAATAAGACAACTCAACTAAACAAATTTAGTAGTTCCTGATATAAGACAGTGTTAAGCCCAGTGTATAGCAGGGTTAGATGGGGAAAGCATGAACTTAACCTAAATCAGTGGAGTCAGATTAAGAATTTCTTCAGAATTGATGACTTCCAAGTTAACTTTTGTTGTTGTGGTTAGGTGCGGTCAAGTTGGTTCCAACTCTCAGCAACCCTATATACAACAGAATGAACTAACACTTAGTCCTTCACCAGCCACACCATTGTTGCTATGTTTAAGACCACGGTTGCAGGTACTGTGTCATTCCATCTCAGTGAGGTTCTTCCCTTTTTTACTAATCTACTCTACCAAACATGATGTCCTTCTCCAGGGACTGATAACTATATAAAGTCTCACCACCTCGCTTCTAACTAAGGAGCATCCTGACTGTACCTCTTCCAAGGCAGATTTGTTCTTTCTTCTAGCAGTCTGGTATTACTCAATATTTTTCTCCAATACCATAATTCAAATGCACCGATTCTTGTTTAGTCTTCCTGATTCACTGTCCAGCTTTCTCACATATATGAAGTAACTGACAATACCATGGCTTGGGCCAGAAGCACCTTATTCTTCAGGGTGATTATCTTTACTTTTTAACATCTTAAAAGGGTATTTCATGACAGCTTTACCCAATGCAATATGTATTCTGATTTCCTGACTGCTGCTTTCAGGGGAGTTTATTATGGATGCCAGCAAAATTCAATCTTTGACAACTTCAAACTTTTCTCAATTTATCATGATGTTGCTGAATGGTCCAGTTGTGATGATTTTCTAGTCAGATTAAAAAGAGAGAGGGGGACAGGAAGAGAAGATAATTTTTTAAGGAGCTAAAGCCTGTTTCTTCAGGGAACCACGATGATTTCAGTAAGGTTAGATTTTTAAGAGTACAAGGAAGGGCAGGGAGGCAGGCTGGGAAATGACAAAATTCATGTGCTATGCTGTATAATTCAAATTTTTATTTTGAAGGCAGGAGGAGACATTTAAATACTTGTATCAGTAAGGATGTGATCACTGAGGAACGTATTGTGGAGAATAGATTGAGAACTAGTGCAAGATTATTTAAAAAGTATAGCAGCAATCTGAAATAAGAAGATGAGTGTCTCATTGTTGCAGAACAGGTTCTTTAAGGAGGTACAACATCATACATATTGTTATTGTTGTTGAGAGTCATCAAGTCAATTTCCACTCATAGTGATCCCAAGTGACAGAGAAGCAGTGCTCCACAGGGTTTTCTAGGCTGTAATCTTGATGGGAATCCTGGTGTAGTGCTATAGGATAAAGCACTGAACCACAAACTCAGTTTGAACTACATGCTTGGCAGTTCAAACCCACCATCTGTTCCTCGGAAACAGGGTCGCTATGAGTCGAAACTGACTCGACAACACTTAACAATAACAACAGTGTTTATATTGGGAGTCCTGATATGGCATTGAGGGATAGAGCACTGGACCACAAGGTCAGTTTGAACTGCAAGGTCAGCAGTTAGAACTCACCAGCTACTCCTTAGAAACCCTATACAGGGTTGTTAAGAGTAGGAATCAACTCAACAGCACAACTATCATTACAGGAGAAAATCACTAGGTCTTTCTCCCATCGAGTCATTGCATAGGTTTGAACCTCCGACCTTTCAGGTAGCAACTAAACATTTAATCATTCTGACACAAATTGTTGTTGTTAAGTGCCGTTGAGTCACTTCTAACTCAGCAACCCTGCATAGGATTTCCAAGGAATGGCTGGTGGACCTGAACCACCAATATAGTGGCTAATATTCCAGTGTTTATCCTATAGCACCACACCAGGACTCCACAAACACCATGTAAAACATTTAGTCCTTCCTAATCTGATTTTATGTTTTACATCTGTTCTATCTTATTATTTTTTTCTTCTTCCTCTTGTTAGGTTCCAACTCATAACCACCTCACGTACGAGAAGGAAACACCATCCAGTCCTGCACCATCCTTACAACTGTTGCTATGTTTGAGTCCATGTTGCAGCCTCTGTGTCAATTCATCTCACGCGGTGTCTTCCTCTTTTATGCTGACCCGCTACTTTACCAAATATGAGGTCCATCCTGATGGCATGTCCAAAGTCTCACCATCCTTGTTTCTAAGAAGCATTCCAGCTGTACTTCTTCCAAGACAGATTTGTTCATTCTGCTGGCAATCCATGAATATCAAACATCCTTCTACAACACCGTAAGTCAAAGACATCAACTCGTTTTCAGTCTTCCTTTTTTTTTTATTGTCCAGCTTTTGCACATCTATGAAGCAACTAAAAACGCCTTGGCTTTAGCCAGGCACACTTAAGTTCTCAAAGTGATATATGTGTTACTTAACCCTTTAAAGAGACCTCTTGCAAGACCAGGTTAACTGGTCTGATAGAGACTGGTGGAACTTACAAGCCTATGATCCCTGGACACTTCAGGACTGGAACTGAACTCATCCCAGTGGCTCAACTTTCGGTCAACAGCTAGTTCTATGGGGTGAACAGTAACCTAAGTAGGGAATCATTCAAAATCAAAGGGCAGCATGTGCTCTGGGATAAACTTTAGAAAGAAGATGGGACAGAAAAGAAGGACGAATAAAAATGATATACTCAGGAAGTAGGAAGAGTGCTGCTACATTGTGGGTACTGTGAGCAATGTCATACCAATGTTTTTAATGTGTATACGAGACAATGTGCTATATCCTACTGCGGTGAGTAGCCACAAGGGTCTGAAAAAAGCTTGTAAGCTGCCATCTAAGATGTAATGATTGGTCGGTCTCATCCTACCTAGAGGAAAGGAGGAAGAATAATGAAAATCAAAGACACATGAAAACAACTTGCCCAGTGGCTAAAGGGTCACGTGAACATCAATATTCACCACACTGAGACCAGAAGAACTAGATAGTGCCTAACTACCACTACCAACTGCTCTAAAAGGGACATTAGAAGGTCCTAGATGGAGTGGGGAAAAAATGTGCAACAAAACTCAAAACCAGAAAGATCAGGCTTATTGGTTGGATAGAGACTGGTGGAACCCTTGAGACTACAGCCTTAGTCACCCTTCAGATCTGGAACTAACCACATCCCTGTGGCTCAATTTTCAGCCAACTGTTGTTGTCAAGTGCCTGCAAGTCAGTTCCAACTCATAGTAACCCTGCATACGGTTTCCAAGGAGCAACTGATGGGTTTGAACTGCCGACCTTATGGTTTGCAGCCAAAAAAATAGAAAGGTCTATAAGGGAAACAATAACATTCAGGTATGCAGACAAAAAAATCAACTACTTGAGATGAAAGAGGACTATTTATCCACAAAGTTCTAAAAGGTTAGGAAAAAGGATAAACGGAAATAGTAAACATAGGAAGAAGGGGGATAAATGATGTTCTATTGAGGGGATTGCAATCACTAAGATGAAACCAAACATATATGAAATCTTGAATGTAAAATTGATGATTGCTCTGTAAACCTTCACCCAATTCCCATTAAAAAGTTACAGTAATAATAATAAAAGTAAAAAGAAAACCATAAAAAATATGCATGAATTGTTGAATGGAAAACTAATTTGTGTTATAAACACTCAAATAACAATAAAAAGTTTACAAATTAGCTTTAGATTTTAAAAAAAGAGGTCTTCGAAGCAATTCATTACACAGGTTTTAATGCAAAAATATCAGGAAATCCAAATTCTGACAACAACCAGCTCAAAGCATCTTAAAATACCTTGAAATCTTCTATTACACACTAATCTTCATGTGATTAGCATATTTTAAAAAAGAAAACTAGCATGCCAAAGGTGTGGATTTACAAAAGCTGCAGAATATTTAAAGAATGCATAAGAAAGCAATTAAAGCAAATGCAAAGCAGAAATCAACAAGGATGATTGAATGTATTATATGGAAAATCATAATATAAACACTGTCATCTTTCTAAGAGCAAGAATAGGAAATAGTCCCATTTGAAAATCTCAAACTCACAAATGAAGTTGTTTTTCTAATTGGTTTGAGAGCAGCACTCGCAAAACGCAGAAACTTTCAAGCTAGTAGATCTAGAACAAAACTACAGAACAACACTTTGCAGGCAACCCTACCTTTCTTTTTGCTTGTGTGATACCCTAAATTCAAGAGGGGGAAAACAAATAATCAAGAGAGGGGAAAAATACAAACCACTGATAAAATTCAACCAGTCCTTTCTCCCCCATGTGCAAATCAGAATAAATAAAACTATTTACACATTTGAAACCAAGAGGTTAAAGCAGTCAAAAACTATAGAATATCTTGGGATAACTAGAAACATCTTGATTATTTATAATTGTATAAAATGAAAAATGATACATTATGTTTTTTAATAATCCTTGAATTTACCTATGTAATAGATAATATTTACCTATATAATATCTAATTTGTATAATTTAACAACGTATACTTAAAATGAGAATTCTGCTAAAGAAAACAGGCTAAACTATTAAGCAAATACTTTAGCAATTTAGCTTCACTTGTCATTTTAATTCATGGTTTTGGGGTGAAAGGTAGTAGAATGGTGATTCATAACTTTACAGAAAATACCATCAGAATTTACAATCTTATTTGAAATTAGAACCTACCACTTTGCTCCAAAGAGTGATCCTGTGTTAGTACCAGTTATCTCTATTAATGTCATTTATGCCATCTGTATATGTGACATTTTTGTGTTTGTAAATATATAAGTTGTTGTTAAGTGTCACTGAGTCACTTCAATCGTAGTGACCCTGGATAGGTTTCCTGAGGAGCAGTTAGTTGGTTTAAACTGCCAACCTGCAATTAGCAGTCTAGTGTTGATCCTATGGCACCATGCGAGGACTACATATACATGTATGTTTATATATGCCATGCATGGTACTTAATTTTAAATATAACAATCAATGCTAAAAAGTTGTAACTTCTTAGGAAGGAACCAATAAAAACCTAAAAATTAATGATATGTCTAATACCGTAAGAAAACAAATTTAGATCTAGGTGATCAATTCTGAAGTATAATATCCAACCAACAAAACTCATTACCTCAGTAAGATAGCGCCTATAATCTTGGCGCAACTCTTCTTTTAGTTTATGTTTCTTCCGTTCATAGTCTTCCCCAAGTGGCAAGCTTAATCCATAATCAATTCCTAAAAGAAAGCAACTTTTTAAGTAATCTAGTTCATTTCACACCAGTCCCACAGAGATCTACTTCTGGGAGAAAGCATACTGGGAAGGAACTCAGTGATGTAGATTATAAGAACAATTTTATTTAAAATGTTTCAGTAAACAGCATAGTCACTCAGTGAAAAATATCTCCACCTCCCACTGACCACAGGCATTCAGTTCTCCTAACCAGAGACAGTTACCATTTTTCATGTTTCCTCCCAGAAGTATTTCATTAATTTATAAACAGGTATTTAAGTATATGACAGGGCTTCAAAAGGTTTGTGATCAAATTTCCTTATCTTTTAACCCCATTTTTCCACAAATTTTCTGAACCCCCATTGTATTTAATTCTTCCTCACTTGGGTAAAAGATTCTACACTGTTTCTTCTTCATCTTTTTTTTTTTTTTTAAGTACAGCAAAATTAAAATCAAGAAAAGCTGATTCCCTTATTTTCATTTAATTTTTCTGTAATTGTTATAAAAACAAATAGTAATGTGTCTATTTTTCAGTCTGGGGAAATTCATTAACAAGACTTTTTAGTCAACAAAAATATCCTTGCTATAAAATTTTTCTGAAGATAAATTATTAGGGCCATGAGTGGCTTGGACCTGAATTTTCAAAAATCTTTCAATTTAATTAAACTATCAATTTTGATTTAATACAAATGAATGTTAATTTTTGAAGAAAATTTCAATTTTAAGTAGTGTTTCCTTAAAGTTCAAAAGTCAAAATACATTTTTGGGTGATGAAAATGTCCTAAAATTGAACCATGATAATGGGGACTTAACTTGTAAATATAGTATGCTAAAGTCCACTCTGGTAGTGTAGTGGTTACGAATCAGGCTGCGACCCGCAAAGTCAGCAGTTCAAAACTACCAGTTACTCCGCGGGAGAAAGATGAGGCGATCTGCTCCTGTAAAGATTTACAGCCTCGGAAACCCTGTTCAGGGTCGCTATGGGTCGAAACCGACTCGACAGCACTTAACAACAACAACAACAAAAAGTTCACTGACATGGATGGGAGAAGGGTGGTATCTACATTCTATCTTGCTAAAGCTGTTAAAATCAAATTACGTACTTTTCAAATCATTTAAACAGTATAATGTCAAGACATACAGATATCAGATAAGCATTACCGTTAGATTTCTAAGTTCCTCTCCTCCTTTTGTTCAGTGCTAATATAAGAAACTATCATTTCTAAGTAAAATTTTTCTTTAGCGATCAAGCAAAAAAGACTACAATAACTGACTGCAGTTTATGAATCGCCATGAACGTCACTGTTTTTGCACCCTATTCCTCACAATGCAACTAAATGCTGGTAACTTATCATGAATGTGACATATGATTGCTTTATTACATCACTGAAAAATTTCAGGGGGAAAAGGCCAAAGTAGTCTAAGAATAAATGAATGTCTACTGATTTTTCTAGAATTCTAAATTCTACTACTTCCCACCATAATGAAAAAAAACACACCAAACCCTTTGCCATTGAGTTGTTTCTGACTCATAATAAGCCAGTAGGGCAGACCAGAACTGCCCATACGGTTTTCAGAACCAATAGAACCCTTTTGGAAGAAATGCAGCCAGAGGGCTCCTTAGAGGCCAACATGGTCAAACTTCATCTCTCTTACTCTGGACATATTGTCAGGAGGGACCAGTCACTGGAGAAGGACATCATGTTTGGTAAGGTGGAGGGTCAGAGAAAAAGAGGAAGACGCCCATGATGGTTTGGCCAAGTGGCAGCATGGATGGACTCAAGCGTGGCAACAATAGTGAGGTTGGCCCAGGATCAGGCAGTGTTTCGTTCTGCTGTGCATAACGTCACTATGGGTCAGTACCAACTCGATGGCACCTAACAACAACAACAATCTTTACGGAAGTCAACTGTCACATCTTTCTCCCTTGGAGCAACTGATAGGTTTCAACTGCCGATTTTTCAGTTAATAGCCAAGTGGTTAATTACCATGCCACCAGGGTTCACCTGCCCTTTATTCTTGTTAAGTGCCGCTAAGTCGGTTCCAACCCATACAGACTCCATACATGGTTTCTGATGAGCAGCTGGTGAGCTTGAACTGCCAATCTTGCAGTTCAAAGCAACTTTGCAGTCCAGTGCATTAACCCACAGCGCCACACTAGGATTCTACCTATCCATAAAGAGCACTGAGAAATTCTCTGGATCAACTCTACTGGCCTATTTAAATCCTTAATAACAGAGGATAAAGGGAGATTCCTTAATGACTTTCTCTCACTCATGTATCCAACTGTCTTCCAAATGACTCCAAAGCATTACCTATGCCTAGAATTATAAATCACCCCGGTACTCTTTCCTCACAAAGAAACCTAAAACTTATTTCAAAGTCACAAAATTAAAGCCTAAAGAGAGAAACAGTTTTTATTCTCACATTCTGAATTCACTATCATTTTGAAACTACACTACAAAATCCATGAAGACAAGATCTATGGTTTAAGCAACTTTAAAATGCCTGGTACATAATCTGTATGTTCACAAAATAAATGACTGAATTAATATATATAAATGCATGCCTGAGAAAGAGAAAGAGAGGAGAAAAGATTATACTATTCTTAGTATTTCACTTTAGATGTTAGTAGTCTGATTGCATAGACAGAGGAAACAAAACAACTAGTAACAAAGGCAGGCATCTCTAGTTACACAGGGTCACAATGGAGGCTCTATTGTGTCAAAGAGAAGACAGAAGAACGCTGCAAGGATGACAACTCCCCCATGAGCTCTGCTTTCCACTCAGGAAACAAGGAGTTCCAGCTCTCACCTAAGGACGCAGTCAAGGTGCTCTTCACTTCTGCTTGGTCAGTTTATGTGCAAGAACAGGAAGGACAAAGTGATCCATTTTCATTTATAAATTAAATTCAAAGTTATTTATCAAGAGCATTGGCTTTTTACTATGGATTATTTGTAATAATTGCCGTAACAGACAAGTAACAGCTTATGAGGCCTTCAGAATTACTTACAATTTTACTTATTTAAGGCTTGGTCAACAGAATACATGGACTTTTTAGTCCTATTTTTGTCCATCTAGTACCAACAATTTACGGGACTAGAGTCAGGTCACAGAAATGAAATCAAGAACTGTATAGAACAATTTAAATATTCTTCTCATTTTAAACTATGTATTAACAATGGCATCTCAACTAAGTAACAAGCTATGAAGCATGGCAAGACTTACTTATTTAGCAGTTATCTTCTGATGGTTCTAGTGTCAAGCAAAGCACTAGTGTCATTTTAAGGCCATTTACATGATGTCACTTCACAAAGTAAAACTGTGCCCCTAAGATAAGTTAACATAATGCTTCAGAACTACAATTTTCAAGTATTTGGTTTCTACAGTGGTTGCAGAAAACTGAAGTATGCAATTTTAAAAAATCATTTATCTTTTAACATAGTACTCATAATGAACACGTCTTATAAAAAAAAAATTAAGTGACCACACAGCCTTTAGTTTCTCTTTCTGTTAATATACTATTATGAGCAGGCATTACATAAAAATAGACAAATTACAGAAAATAATAAGCCTTTACATAAGCAGATGCCTTAGTTTAAAAAAGTGTCCAACTGGGTAGAACACTGTCCTCAAACTTGAGTTTACAAAAGTATTAGTATAACAGACACAGAGCTCTGGTAGCACAGTGTTGGGACTGCTAACCAAAAGGTCAACTGTTCAAATCCACCAGCCAATCCATGAGAAAATAAAATGAAACTTTCCCATAAACATTTACAGTCTTGGAAACTCCAAAGAGTTTACATGAATCGGAACTGACTCAATGACACAACAACAACAGTACCAAACACTCAATTGACTTTACAACAAACCTAACAGCAGAAATAGAAGAGTGCCTGGGATTTGGTTTGTAATAGATTACCTTGACACTACATACACTAAAAAATGTATTATAATTAAAAGTGTTAACTAAAAATTAGTACAATAGCATTAATTTTTGTTTCTCTATTTTCCAAAAGTTTTACATTAGCTACAATTTTTATCTTTGTCTAAACACTACAGCTTTTCTGCATTTTAAAGTTCTTCTTTATAATTCTCTTCCAAATTTCCAGAACAAGCATGGCAGATGGTAAACTTTTAAAATTTTATATTATGCAATTTCTAGTAGTAGAAGTAACATCATTTTATCCTACTTTGGTAATCTATAATCTCCCTGCATGCAGATTTCCAAAATAATGATTTCAGAGCATAAAACATAAAACTAGAGAAACTTGTAGCCTGGAATGCTGATCAATGGCATTATTACTACTGTCGTTATTATAATACAAACTAACATTTGGAGTCCTGGTGTAGTGCTGTAGGATAAGCACTAGATTGGCTAACCACAAGGTCAGTGGTTCAAACCCACAAGTCACTCCTTGAAATATACAGGGTTGCTCTGAGTTGGAATCAACTCACCGGCACATAATAACAGCAATAATTAACATTTGTCAAGACTGACTTGTATCCCCCCATAATATGTGTCAACGTGGCTATCATGATTCTCAGAGGTTTGGCAGTTACGTGGTGATGTAATATAGCAGTTATGTAATGATGTAATCACCCTTCCCATGAGGTTGATCTGATCAGCCCCTGTTGCAATTACCCTATGTGCTGTAAATCCTCATTTTTATGGAGCTTACGAGACTTTATTCCAGTGAGGCAAAGTCCCACTCATCAGACAGCGCTGGGATTTTAAAAGACTACTCTCACTCAGCTTTTACCTTAGAAAAGAAGGTCATCCAAACAGAGCCTGAAGATTCAAGATAGCTGTGGAAATGGCACCAGATGTAAGGATCATGCTTCATCATAGAAATAAGCCTTAATAACCAATGTTGCCTCATTCAGCTCAAACAGATTTCATAGCCAAAGCCAAAACCAGGAAGACTAAACAACAGTCACAAAACAGAAAATGCAAAGTGTTGCAATTTGTAACAGAAATAATTGATCCTTTCACATTCCTGTG